ATTTATAATTTTAAATTTGATTTAAAAATCATTCTGCACACTGTACCTGCTAAAGTGGCGTTGGACGGACATGCATCTTCTGCTTTTAATTTAAAATTTCTCATTAACTTCCAGCATCTCCTCTTTCGCTCCTTGGGATTAAACTTGGCATTGGCTGATCCTCCTGAAAATGATCGCCTTCAGATATTAAATGAAGCTTGGAAGGTTATAACAAAGCTGAAGAACCCACAGGTGAGTTATTGTCTGTTCTGTTTCACTGTTGATTCTGTGTTTAGGACAAAATTGTAGTTAATTGTTCAGTAAGCATATGCTTAGTGGGACATGATTTACCTTTTCTAGATAAACACGTGGTCCCAGCTTTCCTGAGCTCTACTTTAGCATAACTTAATTCTACATAAGCAACTTTTGGAGTTTTTCATTAATTCATTTTTCATTAATTAATCTTTAGGTCTGCATGAATCATATCTCAGGAGTTGTTTTTTGAAGTGTAATGTTTGCAAGTGTATTTCTTGTAACCTCCTGTAAATATGGCTGATCGTAAAACATGTATTTCTAGGATTATATCAACTGTGCTGAAGTGTGGGTGGAGTATACGTGCAGACATTTTACGGTACGTGAAAATTACTTTGTCTCCTTTGAAGGTTTTCTGACACAGGCTAAGTGGCTATATTAGCAGTTTAGCTAAAGTTCCTGGCTTAACTAGAGCTCTGTAGAAAGCTGATGCTTTGACAAATGCAAATAAATTATCCAACTGGTTTTCAGTGACTTGTCTTATGTGCTGATTTGATTACTGTATTTTGTAACCTCATTTTTCGCCACACAGAAGCGAGAGGTCAATACAGTTCTGGCTGATGTTATCAAACACATGACACCTGATCGAGCATTTGAAGATGCTTATCCACAGGTAAAGAATTTATTTTGCCACATCTGTAAAATCTGATGTGCATTTTCTCAGATCAAATTAATTTTTAAATGTTACTGATGTCTCTTACTGCAAAATTATTTTTAAAGACTGGCTGTAATTTGGGAAGCCTTTTGAAACTGTAATGCTGTGATTTGTTCCTTTTTTTCCCTGCACATCAATTTTTCAGTTCAGAGAAATGCTAAACCAGAATGATTTATACATTTCAAAGTCGTGATAGTTAACTCCTACATTAACAGTGGTGTTCTGCTGAAGAAAATTAGCAATCATGGAGGGCTGTTTAAACAGAAGTAAACCGTAAAATAATCCATCTCTTCTTGGCATTGTTAAAGCTTCTGTGAATTACTGTGTCCAGTTCTTGAGACTGCATGCCAGGTGAGATATGGATTAGTTGAAGAGGTTCTAGAAGAAGGTTTTTGTGGTTACTTGAAAGGTAGGTGAAGTGCCTACAAAAAAAGACTAAACAAACTGGTTTCAGGTTGTTTTTTTTGTTTGTTTCTTTAATTGTGGTTACTTAGCCTAGAGACTTGGACGACATGCAGACTATAAATCAGAAAAATCTGCTTAACTACAAAAAGTAAAGAACAGACGAAGATGGGCAGGCTGTTCAGCTTCTGTTCATATGAGTTCTGAAGAGCATGTTGGCAAAACATCTGTTAGGGACAGCTTAGCTGTAGTTGATCCTGCTTTGGGAAAAGAAATTACATCAATGAATTCTTGAAGTGTCTTCCATCCCAGTTTTCTATGAATAACTAGGGAAGACTAATCTGTGGTATAGATAGTCTTATTATGTATTACAATCATTTCCCCTTTCTTTCTTTTCCCTTTTTTTTTTTTACCTTTAGCTGCAGTCAGTTATTCAGAAGGTTATTACCTATATCTATGACTTCTCTCTGCTTTTTTCAGTGGTAAGTGATACTCTGTTTAATAAATGTTTAAGAACTATTTTGCACTGTTTCTGCAAGAGAGTTTACCTGACCTGGATATTTAGATTGTTTGCAAGCTCACATATTGAGAGGACTTTTCATCAAGTAGGTAAGTGCAAAAACATTTTGGAAGCTCTCTGCTGCTTACTACTTAAATATTCATTATTCCAATTCTCTATACTTTGCTTTTTCTTTAGGCTGTTAGGTTTTCTAAATTTGTTTGTTATTATGGCAGAAGTGACAATCAGTGGAAGATAAGATACCATTTACGTGTGTAAGTGTTTGTGTAATTGCTGATTGCTGTTTCTGTGTTACGATATATACCTTACATGCTTTGTCATAGGGCCTAAGTTTGGCATTGAAACAAAGTGAAACTTGGAGAGCTCAGAGACTGTCTGTGAGGTAGAGGAACAAAGACAGGGGTGTTGGCGTACTGAAACCAGTTCAAGAGTAGAATGCGAGACTGACTCTGTGGAATTGGAGTCAAGTCTTGTTCATAAATTGCTCAGATATTTCTGAAAAACTTACCCTTGCTATATTCCTGAGATGATGCAGAAACTAACTTTTTCAGTATCTTAACAATTTAAACTCTTCTTTTTGAAGAAAATTTGAATGTCTTGGACCTTCATAAGTTGCCCTGGATATATGCAAAATGGTTGCTGGTGTGTGGCCTGTTTTCACTGTTTTTGATATCCTACCTTTTGTTCCCATAGGTGTCTGAATTTGTCATGATCTTAAGCTGTTTCAAGCTTATGATTGCTTTTAAAAAATTGGCAACAGTTGATTCAAACAGTTCTGTGTTTTGTGTTTTATTCTGGATCTCTGCAATAAATAAATTGATGCACCTTTCAGCCATTGGTGCTTTTCTGTTTGTTCTACTCTTTTATGCTTCAAGATGAATTACTGTCTTCAAAAAAGATTAAAATAATAAACCAGCTATGATTATAAAGCTTACCCAAAATATTTGTTGTTTTTGTGTGTTGTTTGTAAAATACCTAATTTTACATTTTAATGTATTTGTACTTTCAGGAGAAATTCTTGCCATTTCTGGATATGTTCCAGAAGGAAAGTGTGAGAGTGGAGGTTTGCAAGTGCATTATGGAATCTTTTATCAAGTAAGTGGAGAATACTGAGTTTAAATGCATTCTGGAGGGCCTGGGGAATGTACTGAAAGGCTGCTAGGGAAGATGAGTCAGTATATGGGCCACTTAGTTTGTGAAGGTGTTCCAGGGTATGGGAGAGAAATGAAAATGTGTCAGTTTTGTTACCATGTTGATTGACTGTTTAACTGTTCACAAAGAAAGCTGAAATTAAAGTAGTCATATCGATGCTGACTTGCTGTGGATTAATAGAATAGTTGTTCTCTGAGCTTTTCTAAATTCATGTTGCCATAGTTGGTTTATGAAGTTTATTTCGTATTCCAGCTGATGTGTCAGCACCATGTAAGGGAGGAGGAGAGACTGTCTTTTGTTACAAGCTCCATTATGTAGAAAAATGAGTATTTCCACAGTTGAAAATGAATTTAAAAGATGAGGCTTCATCTTCAAATACTGTAGAAGTCAAACAGTCCTTTTCTTATCAAATAATTAAAAGGTTACTTGATTTTTTTTTTTCTTTTTCACCTTCCCTTCAGGCATTTAAATACACTGCTAAGCCCCCTGTCAAGCCTTCTCTTCTCTAGGTTAGGCAGTCCCAGCTCTCTTGGGAGCTGCTCTCTATGAGAGATGCTGCCGCCCCTTAATCATCTTAGTGGTGCTCCACTGCACACGTGCCTCTGTACCTAAACATGACGTTTATCCTTCTTGTCTGTCCATCAGTAGCTGAGAAACTCTATTACTTCTTGGTTGGTCTAGGATTGCTTTGTTTTGATGTTTTGTTTTGACAGCAGGATTTTTCATCCCTTTTTCTAAAACATTTTATAGGCATCAAACAAAGGATCCTGTTATACTCAATGCTCTTCTGCACATCTGCAAGACGATGCATGATTCTGTGAAGTAAGATTAACTTTGCTTATACTAATAACTATCATTTATACAAAGTTTGCCTGCTTGGTGTACAGTTTCACATTTCTGAGGCTGTTTGTTTCATGGTGGATTAAGACATGAATCCAATTAGTGATGAGGGAACAGCTGTGCCATGAAGTGGCAGCACATACCATTTGCTCTTTAATTAATACTTTATTTTGAACACTGAAGCAGAATTTTAAAAGGAAAGTAGCAATGGTTTTGTTGAGTTTTCTAGTGAAGCAGAGACACTAAACAATTCAATCTTTAAAAAATATTTTTGAGAGTGAAACCAATATAGACTTTGAGTTATAGTGAATAATAAACCATTTTTGAGTTTTAAGTGATTATGTAGCTTTTAAAGTACAGATTGCCGTACTCAGTTATACCTTTATTTAGGATGCTTTTTTTAGTCCTTACAAAGGAATGTGAAATCTTTAAAAGGACAACTGGAAAATCTCTAGGAACTTGAGCAGAGGAAGCTAGAACTGAGAAGATGCTCTTGAACCATCTGTGGTTTTTCCCCTAAATCCTCCTCTGTTTTCCCCTTGACTCTTGAGTGCTGAGGTGGTTAAGGTGCCCTGTTGCACCCTCACTGTTTGAGTAGCAGTTGTGCAATGGGGAAAGCCGTTGCGGTTTGTAGGTAACCTGCACACACTAAAATCCGTGTCTGATTGAAAATAGAGCCAGAATCACAATGCTGCAAATTTTAGATCTTGAGAGCAAAAATCTCCTTTTTGCTTCTTGTTTGGGTTGAGTAGAATTGTAAGGGCAGGATTTCTTTTGGAACTCTGAGCCCAGAGCCTCTTAGTATGGCAGTTGCTGTAAAGGAACTTGTAACTTTCTCAGCCTCAATGTGCCATGAATGCAAGATTTATTGCCAATAAAGAAGTCAGAATTGGCATGTAATTCAAATTTATACCAGCTAGAGTGCTTTATTTTGGGTTAGAAAACCTTATTTGGCTGTATGTTGTACTAAAAGCCACTTCAACATTTAAATAGAACAGTATATTGAAGCTAAAACAGCTTATTAAAAAAATAAGCATTTTATGGGAATCTATATTTGGTGCTTCCTCTGATGTTTTGCCAAAACAATTTGATAGTTTACTGGGGTCCTTAAAATCCCTTAAACCAGCAGTTATTTTAGCTGAGGTAAGATGGCATACATTGTTAGCTTGGTTCTATTGTGTCATCTCTTATTGGCAAATCACCATAAATTCTGAATATCTTAAAGTAACTCCTGCATCTGTTTTTACCTCCTGGTTCAGGAAACTCCCAACCCATTGTATAGGACTCGCTGACCCCTGTAACAGCTGTTGGAGGATAACAGCCTTTAGTCTGGTAGGGGTCTAATTCAGAGTTGAACTGGAAACCTATAACTGACCCGGAGATCTCATTACAAGTCTAGTGAGCCTTTCAGAACCCATCAGTTGACTCTTTTGATTGACAGTGCACTAATGAGCTAATCATGCTGAGATTTTCTTTCTCCCTTTACTGAATTTGTATAATAAAACTACTGTTCTCTTCGCATGTGGTGTCTGAGCTAGGAAATTGGTAACTGATATACTAAAGGTCAAAGCCGGAGACAAATATATAATAATAAAAGGATTAAATTGTATTAGTTAATTGTAATTTAATTTTTTGTTCAGGTTTCACTTACTGGATTTTCATGTGATGTAAATTTGTTTCAAGTCAGATTTGGACACTTACTATAGAATAGGTATCTGTGATACATATAGAATAAGTATCTTGAAAATAAACTTTTTACGTATCAGTTTAGTTCAGTTCTTACTAAAACATCGCAAAGACAGCACTGTAACAAAGTGATGTTAATTATTTTTAAAATTATATGGCAGGGTTAGTTAAAAAAAAACAAAACAAACCAACAAAAACAAACAGCAAGACAAACAAACAACAAAAAACCCCACCAAACACAAAAAACCCAAGCCAATAAACTAATGTTGTTTCTAAAAGAAATACAGTAACTATTGCACATACTATTTAAAGTGTATTTTAAAAACTTTTCCCCTTAAATAGGACAACTTTCTTCAAAGAATAGATTTACTAATTTCTTTAGGTTTTTGTAATCCCTTCCTACTCAAATTCTCATGTTGTAATACAAGACTGAAGCTATTTGCTTGCTGCAGTAAAGAACATTAGCTTAGCTTCTGTCTCCTCATGCCAAAATCTGTATATACTCATAGCAATCTTTGGTTTTGTATTTTTTTTTAATTGAGAATTTAGTTCATGTTTGACTTGGTGATATTCCTATTAAAATTAGTTTTATTGCTTTATAACTGAAATTACAAGCTTACTGGTCTTAGCATGCAGTAAATATTTTATATGGACATAACATATACATTTATGTGTATAATTTGAACCTTTACAGATAAATAAGCACCATTATAAAATTTACCCTATACATTTTCTTTTATAGTGCATTAACACTTGAGGATGAGAAAAGAATGTTAGCAGCTTTGATAAATGGATTCATAAAAATGGTGAGTGACAATTGCGTGCAACTGTTGGGGTGTACCTTATAGCTCGAGTTTTCATGAGGTCCCCATGAGAAACGGGTGCCTGTGTAGCTGAAGCAGAGCCGCTGTGTCTGACTTGCTTCAGACTGTTGAAACTGTATTTTAGTGACAAAAGTTTGCATGTGTTGAAAGACGTATCATGTAGTGTTGAAGCTGACATGGTGCAATATGAGAGTTTAGAGTGTAGATGTATTTTATTTAATATTTTCTGCTAGTTTTTTTAAATCTCATGTAAAACATAGTAAGCATATGAAAGTTAAACAGTAATTAAAGTCTTACCTATTATAGAATCAGAAAGGTCACCAATTTATGTGAATGAAGTTCCGCTACCCAGCCCTAAATGGGACCAAGACTAGCTTTAAAAAAACATAAAATAAATATAAGTTGTATGTTATTCTTATCTCTGTTCATCTTAACTTATAAATAAGATAATTTGTATCGTTAAACTAGTAGTCCCACAAAAACTCCAGTTCTTTTGTTTTGAAATTAATTTTTAATAGTTTCCTCCCTCTTATCCCAGTAAAATCTTTTGTTCTTGTCTGTTGTGTTTGAGATCTCAGGTTGGTTTAGGACATTCTCTCAAGGTTTTTTTTTCTTTTTTATTCTCTACCCAGGTACTCTCAATGCTTGGCTTTTCTTTCACATAGAGCTGACAGGCTTTGTCTCTGCTTGTCCTCTTTGTTCTTTGTTGCAGTTCTGTGAATTAATCTCTAGACGGTTGCTTCCTCTTCAGCTATAATGATTTGCTATTTAATGCCTTTAATATAATTTTGCTTTATTAAGCTTTATATGTCGTATAGTGTTATATAATTTCTTTTAGGAGGATTTCCCACGTTGAGTAATATTTGATGTGGGTTTATACTCTTGATATAGAGGGGGGAAAAAATCCCGTAGCAATAAAATGACTAGTTATAAATTTTAAACCAAAACACATTAAGATGTGGAGGGAAAAGCAGTCTTAACAGTCATCCTTACAGTCTGGCTTTTTTGTGGAAAATTTTATATTTTTAGAGAAGTTTTCTTGGGACTAGGACTGAAGAACCAGCATTTGCACAAATAGGGGAAAAGCAAAGACAGTCTGTAATGTAAGAAGCAATCCTTCATATTCTGGTGCATTTTCTTTGATCTTTCACTGTATAGGTTAAATGCAATTTTCATTTTAATTCTGTAAAAACTTATTTCGCATGTGGCTTGAGAAATAATAAATAATGCAACCTTTACTTCTGTTAGAAAAAAAATTCCATTTGAATATATAAATGTAAACTGCCTGCAGACTTTCTCTTGCTGGGCTCTTAACTGACAGCTGAGACACTCCAGCTGACAGCACTTGGTTTTTAAAATCTGGAGGGTTGGAGTAGGATGTGTTCTTACACAAGGGTTGTTTTTGACTTTTCTGCCAGCATGCAAGGTTGTAGGCTTTTGCCTTACTGTGTATTTATTAACCAAACTGAAGGGAAATCTGCTTTTCTTACTGGCATATTTAGTTAGGAAAATGCTAATTTCTCTTGGAGGCCCTTTAGCAGCCAGAAATTAGAGGAATCTGAATACAGATTAATGGCTCTATTTCTATTTTTATGGTTTTTTTTTTTGTTGGTTTTGTTTTGTTTTGCTTTATGTATGAACTATACCAAGCCTTTGCCCCTGTTCAGTAGAGAATCAAGAGTTCTGCAAGTTTTGAAAAAACTGCTCAAATGTAGGAGTTATATTTTGTTCTCTTGGTAGGTACTTGATCGGTGAAGTAGAAGATCGTGTGGAATATGGAGAAAAAGCTCCCAGCAAAACTTTCAGGTTTCCCTGAAGGTTAAATGTTGGAAAGTTGGCTAGTTAAAAGTAGAGAGATTCTCTAGGTCCTGTTTTGATGTTATCGGTGGGATTTTGTTCTTACCAATATATGGGGATTTTGACTTTTTAATACCTGTGGTTTATCTGCATGCAGTTTTATATTTCTTAAAGTTAATGGTCTACAGTAGTAAAATCTAGGGTGTTTGGTTATTTTTTTTTTGTCTTTTATAGGTTTCATTTGGCCGTGACTTTGAGCAACAGCTGAGTTTCTATGTTGAAGCTAGGTCAGTGTTTTGCAATCTGGAGCCCGTTCTTGTCCAGTTGATTCATGTAAGCTACAGTTTATCAACATTATCTTAAGTGGGGATATATTTGCAATTCTCCCATTCCCTGCCCAGATTACTGGTCTATGTCAAAATAAGTCTGAAGTCTTTTTATCAGGTGTGTTTAAAATAGACTTTGATTTCATCTCTCATCACTCCAAACTCTCTGAAGTTCTTGCTTGATAGGCATGCATGGTATCATTGCAACAAAGAAAACTGTCTATCTTGCAAGAGATTTCATGTCTAATAAAGTAAGTGGCACTTCCATGCATTCAGAATTTGGGTTCTCTCTTCTATAATCCTCCATCTAGGAGAGATTAGACTGTGTCTGGCTGAAGATATAGTCAGAGTGCTCCTGTGATTGGGAAGGTTAATCTTTTCTGTATGTCACATGTCATGTGAGCGTTAGCGGCATCTGATTCCTTTGCAACATTGAATCTTCTCTTAAATCCTTTTATTACATTGGTTTTTTGATAAGTGTGTCAGCTAGAAATCATTATTTTTATGCCAGGAAGAAAGTGATGACAGCAGTATAGCTGGGAAGCAAGGGATGATCGAGCGCCTTGGAAAAATCAACAAGTCTATCTTCACAAACCTTCAGAATCATCTTTGCTTTAAGGAACAGTCACTAAAATTCTCCAAGTAAAAGCTAAATAGTACAGTGAGGGCATACCATGGTGGGGTCCCTTCTGGCAGTTTCTATTCTCTAAATGCATGCAGTAAAACATGTAGTTTGTTACTTGCTGCTGACCTAATAAATCTGTGCATTTGTTTTAAAGATGTGTTTTGGTTTTTATGTGTAGTCTGTAAACCAACTAGCAATGGCAACAAGAAAGGTGATGAAAGGAAATCATTCCAGGAAGACTGCTGCGTTTGTCAGGGTAGGTCTGACTTTTGAGCCTGCCTTCTTTGCAGAGAATACTATTTGCTGCCACCTAAGTTTATAATTTTTGCAAAAATAGTATGTTAGTATTTTTGATGCTGTTTGTAGTCTCATTTTCTCTTGTTACTGTTGATCTTTACTCTCTAAAGCCAAATGCTGCTGTTTAAGAAAAAAAAGACCCAAAGCATAGCAGCTTTATGTTAAAAAGAGCAGCAAGATTGACTCCCTTTCCAACGGAAGGTTCATTGGAGAGCTCTTTGTTTGAATTCTAGAAAGCTGAGCTTTTCAAATTATAATGGAAATAAAATTCTTAATTTCTATGTAACTCAATCACAGAAAGAATGGGAAATAGAGGGAAAAGAATATATTTAAACCTCTGTTTCATAATACCAATGTTAATATGCTGAAATCAGTATTTGAATTTCAAATGAAGTGCTCCTTTCAGCTTTAGTGCCTCTGAATCTCTATGTATATGATCAGATGAGCTTTGAATTATGCACAGGATATGCAAGTTGTTTGTGTTCCCCCTTCTAACCTGAAATATAGCAACTAAGATGTCTTCATCTTCATGTGTTGTGAAGGTGTGTGCATATGCTGCCGTTAATAAATGGATTTTCGTTCATGGCACCTGTGCTTAGGTCCTGAACAAAGGATAGCCTAGTGTAGGCCACCTTCTGTATGCCTGGTAGCCACTCGCTCCATTGAGGTGTTTGGGCTGTTCCAGTAGGTCTAAAGCTGCAGTGTGCTGTGCTAGACCTGCTTCCTCTCAGATACACAGAATGCCTCTGCTTTGGCCAGTTTGACAGATGGACTGTCCCTAAGGACCAGCAGTCTGCTTCTCTAGGTAGATTTTGGTCTTGAGCTGCAAGCTGGCTATTTGAGGAGAGAGGAACACTTTGAGCTAGAGTCATAGAGTAAGTTTTGAACTAATCTACTAATAATTAAAATAATAATAATATTTGAGAAATTTGAAGTTTCTGATTTTGGACTTCCCATTATATTTGCTTTTTATTGAAAGTCTTTCCCAAAACAGATTTACAGATTTTTATTCCTAATCATGTTTAAAAATCAGTAATGATTGCTGTAACTCTGAGGTAGAAATTTTCTTCAGTTTCGTTTTTTATTTGCTATAGGCTTGTGTTGCCTTCTGCTTCATTACAATTCCATCTCTGAGCAGTATCTTCACACGTCTCAATCTGTATCTACACTCTGGACAGGTTGCTCTGGCAAATCAGTGCCTTTCACAAGGTAAGGCATGAATTTGTGTACTTAAAAGTTCTCTCTTTCAGAAATATTTCTACCTGTGAATAATAACTTGGCTGAAATCATAGTCATATACATGTACTTATATGCAATTAAAACACAGCCCTGTTTCAAGCACTGTTCCAGTGACAATTTATATTAAAGCAACTCTTCAATTCTAACACTAATCCTGTGATCTAAATAACCAGGACAGCTGGCTCTAGTTGACATAGTCATGGCTATAAGGTAGCTTGTCCTAAATTACTTAAAAATTATGGAAAGCACGGAATGTTTTTCTCCTGCATAATTATGCAAGCAGTCTAATCACAAATGATGTGCTTTCTTGTAACTGTGGGAGAAGAAACTAGTTAATCTGTGTAGTAGTTCACAGGCTACAATTTCAACCAGAAATCAGCTATCAAAGCACATGTGTGATAAACAGTTAAGAGAATGTGCCACTGTATCAGAGTGAAACAATGGAGTAATACCAGATAATATGGAGAATGAAAAATATATTTGCTTTTTTTTTTGACCTGACTTACTGATTGAACCAGGGCCTCAGTGCAGTTTTTAGCCATCCTATAAGCTCAGTCTTAAGTAATTGGAAATTCTGACAAACAAGTGATTTGGTGAAAAAAAATCGAGCTACTCTGGCATCAGAATGAGCATTGTCTGTATCAGTATTTAATTCTGTATCACGATTTAATTAATTAAATCTCATTCCTGTTCATATCACAAATGGAAGACTGTTCATATCACAAAAGTCTTCTCATACTTTTAACTGTTTGCAGAATCTTTCTTTTCCTGTTTAAAGTGATGTCGTTCTACCTTATTTAATACTGACTTTAAATGTCTGCTTTCCAATGGTAAATGCTTTTCCTTTACATGTGTTCAGTGTAGTCGCAAGAGTAATAAATTGAATTACCTTGCAGCGGCTTTTGTTGTGGCTGTTAATTCTTTGTTTCAGCTCTGTGCTTCTTTATGAGAGCTTGTTTTTCAAACTCTGCATTCACCAGTAAGTTCCAGCTGCACAACCAAGCTAATTTAGAATGCTGATTGAGACCTTTTAGTACAGGGTGACTGTTGTATTTCTTTGTTTCGAATCTGATGCTGCCCGTATAGCAAAGCAGAGGGATTTAGAGTAAAGCTGGCTGTTGTGTCCAAGTATGTTGTGCAAATAAAAGATCTGCAAAGTCTGTTGTTGTGCAATTAGTATTGTGCAGTTTCTCTGTAGATAACAGTTTGCCAAAAATGGACTCGCTTTTTCTTGGTGTTTTGTTTAAAATTGACCAGCTTACCTTATCCTCTCTATCGATTTTTGTTATTGTTGCAGTACATCTCTTGCTGAAAGCAAATCCAAAGCAATTTTTCTGTAATATTCGATCTTTGAGGACTATGCCCTGCCCACGTTGGGACCAACTCTGTGATTTAATAATCTTTAATAATCTAATCTAATCTGTTTTTCCACTATTTTTGTGATGTGAGTCTTCTCTGAGTGGGACTGCTGGGCTCCAACAATTATCCAGATTTTTCAGTGTGTGAGTTTATGAATATGCACAGCTGTTGTTTGACAAGTGAACACAGTGCGCTCACTGTAACAATGAATAGGATCCCTATTCTGAAAGCTTTGAAGGTAGCAGGTATATGCAAAGCATTATGAACTCAATCTCTAAAATGCATATTTATTAACCGCTCCCTACTGAATTTTAGACCCACAAGCTAGGGAGAGGAGCATTTGGTCCATCCTGGCTCTTGTTGAAATGAAGCATGTGCAATATAGGTGTTCAGTAACTCACTTCATTTACCAGTGTTTTATTGTTACATACTTCTTTGTTTCCTTAGAAAAGCTATTTTGGGCATAATTTGTATTCAGGGATTTTGCACTTGCATGTGTAATTTAGCATGTGTTAACCAGCTAGGCAACAGTGACACCGGTCTTGGGACAGTTTTTGTGAACTGTCTTTGCATATTCTCATGTATTGTAGTCAGATAACATGTCCTTGAAAGTTACATTTAACACAGTTTAATCTGGATCTCAACTGAATGCATTTCATGCATATAAGAAGTACTGATTAATTCATAACAGCGAATTTAAATCCAGTCAGTTAGCTGAGTTAACTGATGCCAATTAGACACTGATCTACTAAAACCGATGCAGCGTGAAGTTTTAAGAGTGTGCAGCTAATGATAGCGTTAGGCTAGGAAGTTAAATTGTGTCATGCGTGTAACCTTTATGTTATGCTGATTGGAATTAGCTTAATGAGTTTAAAATTGGGAAGAGAGAGAAAACTGAAAGGTAATGTACCTGATCTGATAGCTCAGTTAGTAGCGAGAATGCATGCATGCAATTAATGCAGTTTCTCTTTAAAGATTCCAGTTGTTGTTTTTAGTGAGTTAAATTCTTGGGTTTTTTTAAATTCTAAGCTCTTACAAGGAGTCTACCTATTTCAGTGAGTGGAGTTTTCACTAAAACCTATAACAAAATCGAATTTCACAAGGTAGACTTATGTTTGCAATAGGAAGATTGCCAATATATCTAACTTGAAAAAAGGGTAAAATTATCTCTTGAGGCAGATAAAGGGAATTTTAAAGATTGCTTTTTTACAGAGAGGATCTGTGGGTCATAAACAGTAAATAAAGTTTGCCAATCTGAGGATTGCACTAATAAACTACCAACAACTGGAGAGCCACAGCTCATCTGCTTATAACTAGAGTTTGGGTTTTGTGGTGTTCCCAGTCTCAAGGGGCAGCAGCAATACCAGACAATCAGTCCTGGTGTCTCACAGTTTCAATTTCCTCTGTCAAATCAGAGCCCTCCCTGCTGACATTTGCCACACTGTTAATCAAAGCAACTGTGTGGTGCTTGTTTGAACTCACCCAAATTCTTCAGTATTAGAAAACTGTAATAGTAATTTTTCTTGAAATATATTTTCTTTAATACAGTTAAATGATGTCAGAAATGTGAATTTATAGACTCACGAAAAGTCTAATATTAATACACTGGTACATGGATGTCCAGATATGCTTCTCAACGTGTATTAAACATGACTAGTGTCTCTTTTGTCTTCAGCTCCCAAGAGGTGCTTTAAATAAAACCAATCTGTAATTAAGTTAAAAACGCTTTAGGTGATTTTGTCCCGGATGCATAGTTTGTACCGTGGAGAGCCGATGAAGAGCTTACCTCAAAAAGGAGGATCCTAGATTTTACAAATGTGTTCATTTTTTTTAACTGAGCCACAGAACACCACATGCTGCCAACATAGAATAATAAATTCTCATCAGTCATGCTTTCTGTCATAGGGCGTGCTTGGACTAAATTGAGATTAAATGCGTGCTCCGTTGTGTCACTCTTCTGAATTTTTGAGGTAGAGGTATTATTTAAATTGCACATATTTCCTCCCTATGGAAATGCTGCTTTTGCCTGTCAAAGAACAGACAGCATGATTTTTCAATTGTTGGCCACAGCATTCAGCAGGTCCGTAGAGATGACGTAACTTTCTGGTAATGTGTGCTGAGCGGCACTTTTATTTTAAAGGTTGTGAAATCCTTGCCTCGCTTCAGAAGTAACATGCTGAGTGAATAACGTAATTCAACTGATTCTGTGTGACTAATTTCACTGGAATATTGTCGAACATAAAACTTTTTAAAAATGGAGAGTTTTTGTCCCCCAGATCAACTGACACAGACCTCTATTTTGTTTGGCAAGTACAGAGTTTAATTCTGAAGCATTCATTGCTTAATGTACATATAAATATTTGTTCTGTTCTTCAAATGTAGCTGAAATGGTTTCACTGCAAAAGTAGTTTCTTAGTCTGCTTCAGAAAATGTTACTTTTCCATGAATATTGTCTCAATATGACAAGCTTCAGCCACGCTCTGGAGAAAGGATACTATAGAATATCTAATAAGTAATTTTTAATTATAGTCTAATAATGTTTTAGTGTAATTTCTCAGTAGCATTAGATAACAATTTTTAGTATGCCCTCCTAATCTCCTAAAATCATTATAGATCTGAAGAATATAAACAGAATATAGATAGAGAGAATTTGAGGTAAAGAATTTAGTGCGATAAGAACCTGAAGAGGTTTTCTCAGTTACAGATTTTGGGACTTCTTCTCTGGTGAGATCAGTATATGGCGTCTCTGTTATCTTTTAAAATACTGTTTTCCTTGATGGCAGCAAAGTAGCTTTGGGAGAAACTGATGAGATACTGTTTTCCTTACTAATACTAGATGGTGCTTTATTTAAAAAAAGAAAAATGACTTGTACTGTTACCTGGGATTTCCACAGCTGGAAACTTCTCCCATTCATTGAGCTTTTTACTTGTACCTCTCTTTATTGCAGCCAATAACTTCTCCATATGACTTAGAGAGATGACGTCTCTGTCCCTGTAAGCTGGTCAGACTAGCATTGCATAGCAGTTTGTCACTTCTTCAAGTCTGCCTAGCTCATGACCTGTTTTTGAAAGTGTCTGGTAGCATCGACCAAAGGAACACACAGGAAACCATGATGTAGAATGATGCTTCCTAGCTTTCAGCCGCAGGCGCTCTAAATACATCCTTCAACAGAGGTCCCATATGGACCATGGTATTTAATAAAATAGATGGACCAATTCTTAGGAATTTAATTCTTTAATAAATTTTTACTTTTTGGCCTTTGCAACTTCATGTGACAGTGAATTTCAGAGTTATGTGCTACTTAGAAATCTGCTACTGAGGGATTTATTTCTGTATGGTTTTTAAATGTTATCTGAGTGTTTCAGTGCATGTAGCTGACCTACTAGTGATACTGTGAAAAATTCAGTCGTTCTTGGTTAATTTTCTTCATGCTACCCATGAGGTGTTGGAATTGATAAGTTCTGTCATTTCTCATAAGAAATAGTTCATGCCGTAACACCTTCTTAATCTTCTTTTTACCCTTTTGGAAGTGGGAAGATCAGGAGTGTATTCCAGGTGTAAATGCACAACAGCTCTAGAAATGATACAATGACACCTCAGTTTTCCATTA